GTGGGATTTGGGGCGTTATACCACCCATTTACACATAATTCCTTAAGTGCTACTAATAGTTGATTTTCCTTGGTAGTTGTCCACGTCCTGTGTGCACCCCTCTCACTTTGGGTACTTGCAAGTGTCTCGAACATTTTCTATCAACATTGTCAAAATTCCAAAAAAAAAAATCAACTATTTTACTAATTATTTGGACACATATATGTGCAAAATGGTACCTAAAATAAAGGATAGAGACATAAAATTTTTAACAATTTATACAATACACATAGTACATGTACATAAAATATCACTATGGGCATAAAGTTAAATAACATGAAACTTGGTAAATTGTTTGTTTTCAAACTACATAGATCCTCAATTTATTTGTTGGCCTCAATTACTTATCCACTCATTGTACATATCCAAGGTCATATGATTGCAAAACAAAGACCATTTAGTTGATGTCTCAACATTGTCTATAACATTATTCGCCACTTCAACATCAACAAGAATATCTTTGGGCAACTCAACTAGGACAGCACTAATTTCATTCCTAATTAAGTTATGCAACAAACAACATGCAGCTATAATGCGATTATGAGTGCACACAGGAGAGTAGCATGGTGCCCTAAGAATTGCCTATCAGTTCTTTAATAATGCAAATCATCTTTCAATCCATGTCCCTGCTGCAGAATGTCCGAGGTTAAACAATTCTTTAGCATTTCATGGTGCAGCTGCACCAGTCCCAAAATCTTGAATATGATAACGTTGACCCCTGAATGGTGCTAAAAATCTCTCCCCATTTGTATAACCAGCATTAACTAGGTAGTACGTTCCTATGTGGTATAAGAAGCTTTAAATTACAAGTACCCACCATCNATAACGTTGACCCCTGAATGGTGCTAAAAATCTCTCCCCATTTGTATAACCAGCATCAACTAGGTAGTACGTTCCTATGTGGTATAAGAAGCTTTAAATTACAAGTACCCACCATCCAACTAAAACCTTTATATAAACATTGCATACCTTCTTCCAAAAAACATAAAATATGACTTACCACATGCAATCTTCAACCCATTAGGCCTAGTAACAATATCACGCAAAATCCTAGAATCAGCAGCCGACCCTTTCCAACCGGGTAACATGTAAATAAATTTCATGTCTGGAAAACAAACACCTAACACATTTGTCGCTATTCCACCTCTACGTATTCTATATATCTAGCTTGATAGACAAGAGGTACTCGGGCAAGGACATAAGTCCTAGCTATTGCACCCGCACAATTCTACAACGAAAAAAAAATGATTTTTCTCATTAGTGGGGGCAATATAACCTAAATAAAGAAAATGAAAAAATATAGAAAATATAAAATATTGTGTAATACTTCACATAACACTTAGCTTAAACCACTTCCACTTAGAGTCACTATTGTTCTCAAGAACTGGTTCTACCCTATGCAAGCTTAACACCGTTGTAAGAACCTTGTTGAAATGGCGACTAACGGTTTCTCCCAACCGTAGGAAATTGAACTTAATTGACCAATTTTTTGTCATCGTACGCTAAAATACTTAGAAACATGGCTACCATCTTTTCAATACTGACATTCCTAGTTGAAGTTAGTTCACTAACATCACAAACCATATTGTACAACACAACAAATGTGCATCTGTCCATCCGCATTTGGCTAATACAAGTTGTGTCACTCTCACCAATGAGAAGGTGTAAGTGTTCATTTGTAACCAGCTTTTATGTAAAGGTCGTGGGACCTCAGCTTTCTTAGAATTGTTTTCCATTTCCCAAATCATCACCATTATTGACACTATAAGATTAAATAAAATTACTATCTCTCGAATATTCATATTCAAAATGGTAAGTAAAATACATAGTTCATCGCTAGGGTTGTCCATGTTTACTAATTCATCAAAAATAAAATAGTACAATACAAAATAGTTATCTCCCATCCAGTCTCTACGAAAATGTTGGAATTCAAGTACCCATGCACACCACATTGTATATATCAAAATGAGATCTTAACATTTCATACCATTTCAATGCAATTTACTTACTCTTGTGAATGCGTGTATGATAAACATTATCACATTGCTCAATAAATATAAATCAAATAACTTCTAACAAACAAATACATAATATGTCGAAAAAAGTATACAAATTGGCCAATTGACAACACAGTTAAACAACCGGGAATAGAGGAAAATACCTCATTGATGGACTGGATGTCGATATGGTGATTAGAAATACTTAAAAAAGTAAACAAATTTTTGTGATTAGATCCTTGAAAAACTAATAGTAACACATAGCCTAAAAGTAAACAAAAGTGGTATATGTATTTTTTAAGATATGCAAGAAGAAGTTGAAGTACTTGGTCTGTTAACTATTTTTGTATGGGTGACGAGGGAGTTTTTTGGTTTTTTATTCTAAAAGGCGTATGTGCCTTGGTTTATGTTAGGCGATTGAGCCTTTGTTTTTGCTTCTTGTAATTAAAGGCCACCAAAAAAATCATTTATTTTTAGCAAACTTTGCAAAAGAACTTGTCAACAACTAAATTTTCTTGTCTCAAATTTTTTAGAAATCTGTTCACTAGTAGGTAACAAAAATGAAAAAAAAATTAAACTAAGTTTCGTTATTGTTCTATTGTGCCTGATAATTCACTTATTTCTAACTCATTTAATGATTTTCGAGAGCCAGCATGTTACTGCTAAACAAATCTATCATCTGAAAAGCACATATTATTTATTGCTTCAGTTGTTTTCGTGAATAAATAAAATTTTTCTTTGGTTTAAAAGAGAGAGAGAGAGAGAGAGAGAGAGAGAGAGAACATAAACAATGAAGAACTGGACAAAAAAAATGGACAAAATCTGAGCAGCGAACAACAACGACGAATGACATTGCTCAATAATGTCATCAGCAATGACCCTTGTACCTAGTTAAAACAAAAGAAAACATCTACTGATTTGGGACTTGTTAGACGCAGCTCCTACTTCACGCCAAAATACTGCCTAAAATTTGTAAATACTTCCTAAAATACAGANCAACGACGAATGACATTGCTCAATAATGTCATCAGCAATGACCCTTGTACCTAGTTAAAACAAAAGAAAACATCTACTGATTTGGGACTTGTTAGACGCAGCTCCTGCTTCACGCCAAAATACTGCCTAAAATTTGTAAATACTTCCTAAAATACAGATGTGGAATAGAGATAGATAGAGGAGGGAGAGAAGAGAGAGAGGAATACCTTCGGCTCAAGGGGGGATCAGTGGGCGCCATTGTCAAAGTAAAGGGGACCAGCAGTTAGGTGAAAGGAAGAGAAAGGGGGTAAAACCCCTAAATTATTTATTGTTACATTGACAATTTTGCAATTTCGAAACCAATCCCGTCAGTGGGCTTAGATATCCCAAAGTTCAAGTAAGATATGTGAATTTAGCTCAAAGGGGATAACTGTCCCAAAAATATACGGGCCGAATTTTTGAGTTCAACGAATATTTCATCCCATTTGAAATAGTCAAAGCTGGGTTTTGTTGGCCCGTCTAATTTTATCTAATCAAACGAGTGTTATTCCTTTTATCGTTCTAAACAAACACAGCCAATCAATCCTCTTTAATCATGATTGCCTCGTGTCATGGACTACAACAGTCCTCCATAAGCTCCCTCCCATGTACACAAGGTGGCAAATTCTTGTTGGTCCTCAAAGGCTCTAACTAATCCGAAAGGCCCCACGTGAACCCAATTCCAATGCCCGAAACTCATCATCACCATTTCAGACCCCCACTTCTCTCTATCTCTAGCAAATTGAGATCAACCGGACCAGATTTACTAGGACCGGGTCGCACTAGTGCTCATAGGGCACATGGGTCAGAAGAAAGGTGCGAGTGAACACAGTGTAGGTCTTCTCTGGTAATTCACTCATTCATTGTTGTTATGTGTTCTCTGTCTTGGTCTTCTTTGTATCCTTACTAAATTCTCTTTCGCTCTCTAGAGGTCAACTTTCTCTCTCTTGACGTCGTCGTTTCTGTGTGCGTGTTCGACTTCAACGAAGCTCTGTGGAAAACTTCGCAATCGATCTCACTCTCTCTATCTCTCAATCGGCTCTGAAGACTTCACCATCTGAATCGCTCAGCCAAGCGCGTTCGATTGAGGTACTTTTCGCCATCATCCATCAGTTCTATGCTCAGATCACGTTATGAGTTACAAAATTTAAATGGTTCTTCGGTTATTTGTGTAATTTCAGGTGATTTTGTTTTGAATTTTGTGATTTAATTTGAGAGAATTTGGTTTGGAAGTAGTAATTTTTGGGGGTTAAGTTTGTAGAAGTGTTTGATTTTTGGGTATTGGGGTGAAGGTAAAGACGTCTGTTTTGGTGTTTTGATGGGTTGGGTTGAGTTTTTGACAGTAGAAGCTGAAAGGCTATGGTTTTTTTGGGTTCATAGTTGGAAAGAAAAGAGAAATGAGGAATTTTTAGGGTCTGATTGAGATGATTTTGGACTTGGATTCACTCGTTAGACTGCTGGTTAAACTGTGGACAAAGGATGGAAAAAATAACTATTTAACGTTATGTTCCATGCTGTGTTGGTTTTCGGAAAATGTAGTTCGTATCTCATCTGACCCAAGTCGTTATATCAACCTCACTTTGATAGTTTTTTTGTTTTTTTTTTTTAATTTTCCCTTAAACGGAGCATGATTGGTTTTACGAACAGAGCATGATTGGTTTTCGAAAGTTTTAATTTGAATAAGAATTCTATTCAGACCCTTAATATAGTAATTTAAATGACCTCTAAATCACGTTATTATGGTATTTTTTTTCCGAACCAAATGATAGTGGCTTACAGCTAAGCCTATCACGAGCAGCATCGCTGCTTGATCGGTGGGGAGGAGCATCTCAAAGTATGGGGCAAAGGATCAAGCGCTTTGACTTTGTTCCCCTGGATCTTCCATTCCTTTAGTTATCTCAAATTGCAGAACTCGACGCCATTGTAATTTTGCTGAATGTTTGGTTTTAGGGTTTTTGTAGGTGGGATTTTGAGCTTTGGATATGCTGATGCAGAAGAAATAATTGAAGGTTGCACTGTTCTGTCAGAGAAAATGTTAGAGGGTCCAAAATTTACTGGAATTATTGGGCTGACCAATAACCATGATAATTTTGATCTGTCACAAAATTTTTACCGTAAGCTTGGGGAGGGGTCCAACATGTCAATCGACAGTTTTGGGAGCTTACAAATGAGCAATGGTGGTGGGTCTGTGGCGATGTCGGTTGATAATAGCAGTGTTGGATCAAATGATTCCCGTACTCGCATTTTAAACCACCAAGGGCTGAAGCGTGTCAACAATAATTATACGGTTGCCCAGAGTGTCAATCGGGGAAGAGTCTCACATGCTCTGAGTGATGATGCACTGGCTCAAGCTTTAATGGACTCCCGTTCCCCCACAGAGGGGCTTGAGAATTTTTATGAGTGGACGATTGATTTGGGGAAGCTTAATATGGGAGCGGCATTTGCGCAAGGGGCTTTTGGAAAACTCTACAAAGGAACTTACACTGGTGAGGATGTTGCTATCAAGCTGCTAGAGAGGCCAGAGAATGATCCAGAGAGGGCACACTTGATGGAGCAACAGTTTCAGCAGGAAGTCATGATGCTGGCAACATTGAAGCATCCAAATATAGTCCGCTTTATTGGTGCATGTCGTAAACCTATGGTGTGGTGTATTGTGACCGAATATGCAAAGGGGGGTTCAGTTCGGCAGTTTTTAACTAAGCGGCAGAACCGGTCAGTGCCTTTGAAATTGGCTGTAAAGCAGGCCTTGGATGTCGCCAGAGGAATGGAATATGTGCATGGCCTTGGGTTGATTCACCGGGACCTGAAGTCCGACAATCTTTTGATTGCTGCAGACAAATCAATCAAGATTGCTGATTTTGGGGTTGCTCGGATTGAGGTACAGACTGAAGGAATGACGCCAGAGACAGGGACATACCGCTGGATGGCGCCGTAAGCCTTCTCACTCTTTATCTGCCTGGATGCTTCTTTAATTTAGTTTTCTTATGTTATTTTTTACTAGAATCCAGCCTTAGCTGTTTTGTTGTTCATCTTCTACTTGTCAGATGACTGTTTTACCAATTTTTATATGCTATGTTACCTATGATTGCTCCCCCAAAACTTGTCAAATGCTGTTAATTCTGTTAAGCACTTGAATTTATTAGTTCTTACTGTTCTGGTTAATTTTATTATTTCATCGTTCTGTAGTTGCCGGATATTTTATAATACAATCTACATAAGTTTCAACATCCTTTGGAGGTGAGATTCCATACTTTTTCGACCGCTAGATTATTAATTTGAGAATATTTTCTTCATGTTTGCTGTGTTATGCTTGAGATCTCCGTGCTTCCTGCTGCTAGGTTCTGAATTCTATCCTATAAGTTACTTGTTGTGGGGTTAGAAGTAACATGATTAGCGTGCTATTATCTCCATATTATGAGAAATTATACAAGTATGTGTATGTCAAATGCAAGTTTAAACCTCATAAAGGCAAAAACATATAGAAGCAGTTATCAACAAGGATATATTAGGGAATGTTGATTACAATTTTATATGATATCATTTGGAACAATCTGGTATCTTTTTTCCGTATGATTGTGATGATATGTTTATTATCTGCATTTGATTGAAGGGGGTTGTTTATATTGATTCAGAAAAAGTTTCTTGTTGAAATTTAGTCTAATATTTTGTCTGTATCCAAAGGCCATTTGATCATGTGAGTCAATGGGGTTTCTCTGTGTTCGTCTATTTTTAGAACATGGCCGTAAAAGTTTAGAGGAAATTAATAGCTTCAATGCATGTTTTTTGGAGTAACCAATAATGTTTATAAGTATCAGTAACAAAGAGAAGAAAAGAGTTAGACATCCTAAACTATTGTGTACTATTACCTTTTGTTGTGTTTTGAGTCCAACAAGGACAGTGGGGGTTGAGGGCAGAAACTGGCATCCATCCTCCACCGTCTGTGGTTGGTCCAATAAATGAGTATCTAGCAATAGATGTCACGAGAAATAGTGGTTTGAAAACCCCTTGCATCATGTCGTGTGAAACCCCTTCGCCAGTAGTGGGCATTCCCGTGAGCTTCATGCGTCAACAACGATGATTCAACTGTAATCCCAGATGAAGCGAGATTATTCGCTCAGTTTAAGCATATAAAAAATTGGAGGTAAACAAACCTACAAGGATTCTGCTACTAATGGGGAGCAAACCAGGAACAACCCAGCTTAAACATTAGATATTACTATTGAGATTTGTGTGGCCTTGATTTCCTGGGATGACATCATGAGAGGGAAAGTTTGGGAACATCTGCGTTGAGTGCCCTGCAGAAATACTGTAAGTAGGTGAAAACGTAAAATATTGAATGCCCTTGTGGACCACCATGATTCTCATCGGTGCTTGGATATCATTGGGTTGATTCTCTGGCCGATGTATGGATGAGGAAACTCATAACATTAACTGCAGTTTTCTCCTTTATTTCTCATTTGGATGACCATGTTCTTTTTTGTGCATGAATTAAATATTCAGAACAGATTGACATTTCTTGAGTTTGGCCATTTATAGGGCTAAGTCTTGAAGGTAGGATTTGTAGGCCTAAAAGGATCCATGGGCTAGTAACACGTTAGGTTGCGTTATTTGAGGTAGTTAAATGGGCCTTTTGTTTCACTTTTTGTTCTTTTGTTTTTTTTTATGAGAGAACCTAGTATTTCTTTTGTTTTGTTTTCTTCTATTTTCATAACACTACTGTTAAACCAATTTACCGGGACTCAAACTAATGAAGAGAACTAGGATTTTAAGTTAGATCTAAAATGTAGTTAGTGTAAGCCTCAAAACTCTGATATATTCCATTAGTTCATTGTAGAGTCTGGTTGCATCTAGCTGTTTGAAGATCAACATAAGTTTAATGCCCAAATGTTGGACCTTGTTAAATGGGTGTACGGAGCATTATTTGGGATCATGTTGGTGGTACTATTTTAGTGTTTGGAGAGTTGTAATTAAAGATTTGGGTTCCAGAGAAGCTATCGGTTGTTACTTAAATTCTGAACGAAGGAATTTCTTTCTAGTAGTTTATTTAACCATTAACATAGATGGTATGAAGGTACGACAGATTCTGTTGATCAAGAAATGTTTGCTGTTTTTTTTTGCCTCTCTGGCATGACTACTCTGCTTGCTTAACACTTGTTGTATTTAACCTTCATGGACCACTTTACTTCCTAGCAAGCTTTGGCTCAAAAGCAAGAAGCAATGGACTGAGTTGCCCGAAAGCCCTTGCTGTTTATTGCATTCTTTTTTTGGCAGAACCTTTAGATAGTTTCTTTCACACTTGTTTGAGACCATATATGACTTTCTTCAATCCACAGACAAGGAATAGATCGGAAGTTTGGTACGAATTTAAGAGAAGGGACTCCAGCGCATAGATACCAGGGTCGCACAACCCGAAATGGGGTGGATTTGCGATCCACATGGCTCAAAGTACCAACCCCAAATTATAACTCAATTTTCAAATTGATTCATGATCTTAAGAAATCTTACTGTGGTTAATTTTCACGGCTGTACTGTATTGCACATTTTTTGCCTTGGTTGATGACTTGTTTCAGTTTGTGGAGTTAGATGTGAGGTGGACTCCAGTTTTCCAACCATGGAGGTGGATGATTTAGCAATGAGAATATTTTGTAATTTTTTGAACAGTATTTATCCTCCTTCAATATTGAGTTTACTGGAATAGGGTCCACGTTTGTATTTGTGACGACTCTTTTTGTGTTCATTTATTTTCTTTCCAAATACTAAGAAGACCTCAAAATTTGAGGTATTTGTTTAAAACGAAAAAACCTAGATCATTTGAGTTACTTCATCGTTGTATAAGAAGTACATGATGTGAGATTTTGCCATTTTTGTATGTGATATTAAGTACTTGAGTGATATATGTACACTGTAGCATTTTAAAAATAGGTTCACCGTGAGTATACGTTTCTCTAAATGCTACTTTTGTTCTGAAAAAGACAAATAAAGTATTATGCTGTTCAACTCCTCTAATCTCGGCTATCAGTATATTTTTGTTTTCGTATAATATATTCTCCTAGAAGAACTTCCTATTTAAAAAAATTTCCTCGGAAGAACCTGAAATAGACTTTTCTAAGAGAATCTCCCAAACAAGGTAAAATGAGCATTAACGAAGTCTATAGGTGCCTACAATGTCATAAATGTACTTTTTTCTAATCTGAACAACTCAAAAAGAATACTATGCTTTTTATTGAAAGAGATGCTCTATCAAAGGAAGATATATAATTTGAATTTGCTATCTGCAGTGCTGCCAAGAAATGGATCGCTTTTGGTCACAGCAAAGGTTGAAGCTTCTATTACTAGTGCAACTGAAGCAATAACTTTCTCAGTTATTCATTTGGATGTGACTTATGTGTGAACAGTTTTTTGTATAATAGTTGTCATGGAGAAATACTAGTGTTGAAGAAACCTTTCTATGAGAGACGAAGGTCATAGCCAGCNCTTCTATTACTAGTGCAACTGAAGCAATAACTTTCTCAGTTATTCATTTGGATGTGACTTATGTGTGAACAGTTTTTTGTATAATAGTTGTCATGGAGAAATACTAGTGTTGAAGAAACCTTTCTATGAGAGACGAAGGTCATAGCCCCCCNGTTTGGTACGAATTTAAGAGAAGGGACTCCAGCGCATAGATACCAGGGTCGCACAACCCGAAATGGGGTGGATTTGCGATCCACATGGCTCAAAGTACCAACCCCAAATTATAACTCAATTTTCAAATTGATTCATGATCTTAAGAAATCTTACTGTGGTTAATTTTCACGGCTGTACTGTATTGCACATTTTTTGCCTTGGTTGATGACTTGTTTCAGTTTGTGGAGTTAGATGTGAGGTGGACTCCAGTTTTCCAACCATGGAGGTGGATGATTTAGCAATGAGAATATTTTGTAATTTTTTGAACAGTATTTATCCTCCTTCAATATTGAGTTTACTGGAATAGGGTCCACGTTTGTATTTGTGACGACTCTTTTTGTGTTCATTTATTTTCTTTCCAAATACTAAGAAGACCTCAAAATTTGAGGTATTTGTTTAAAACGAAAAAACCTAGATCATTTGAGTTACTTCATCGTTGTATAAGAAGTACATGATGTGAGATTTTGCCATTTTTGTATGTGATATTAAGTACTTGAGTGATATATGTACACTGTAGCATTTTAAAAATAGGTTCACCGTGAGTATACGTTTCTCTAAATGCTACTTTTGTTCTGAAAAAGACAAATAAAGTATTATGCTGTTCAACTCCTCTAATCTCGGCTATCAGTATATTTTTGTTTTCGTATAATATATTCTCCTAGAAGAACTTCCTATTTAAAAAAATTTCCTCGGAAGAACCTGAAATAGACTTTTCTAAGAGAATCTCCCAAACAAGGTAAAATGAGCATTAACGAAGTCTATAGGTGCCTACAATGTCATAAATGTACTTTTTTCTAATCTGAACAACTCAAAAAGAATACTATGCTTTTTATTGAAAGAGATGCTCTATCAAAGGAAGATATATAATTTGAATTTGCTATCTGCAGTGCTGCCAAGAAATGGATCGCTTTTGGTCACAGCAAAGGTTGAAGCTTCTATTACTAGTGCAACTGAAGCAATAACTTTCTCAGTTATTCATTTGGATGTGACTTATGTGTGAACAGTTTTTTGTATAATAGTTGTCATGGAGAAATACTAGTGTTGAAGAAACCTTTCTATGAGAGACGAAGGTCATAGCCAGCCCCCCCCCAAAAAAAAAAACCCAACAAAAAACGAACACACACACACACACAAAGGACAAAAATAAAATAAAATACACCAACACAGGCCAAAATACAAAATAAAGATGTTAGGGTGCTGTTGTTCATAATTTTTTCTACCCTTCAGAGTTTTTGTTACTTGGTTTTGATTTCATATTTCACATCTATGTTTTCTTTGGGGCTACTTCAGTGCATTTGTACTCTGAATTTACAGGGAAATGATCCAGCACAGGCCTTACACGCAGAAAGTTGATGTCTATAGCTTCGGGATTGTTCTGTGGGAACTCATCACAGGAATGCTTCCCTTTCAGAACATGACTGCTGTGCAGGCAGCGTTTGCGGTCGTTAACAAAGGTGTTCGTCCAAACATCCCCATTGACTGCCTGCCGGTTCTAGGTGAGATCATGAGCCGATGCTGGGATGCTAACCCTGATGTCAGACCACCCTTTACGGAGGTTGTCAGAATGCTTGAGGCTGCAGAGACTGAGATCATGACAACCGTCAGAAAGGCTCGTTTCAGGTGCTGCATGAGCCAACCCATGACTGCAGATTAATGCATAAAAAGAGGGAGTTACAAGTGGTAAGAAAAAACAGTGAAGAAGGGAAAAGGAAAAAAAACAGCTGAAAAAGTGATTTTATGTCAACATTGTGTATCTATCAGGGTTAATTTCTTTCTTGAGATAGAAAAAAGGAAGGAAACATTATGATAAGAACTGCTTGTTTTGTGGTTTTTTATTTTACGGATTGATGTTGCTGAATTAGTAGTAATCCAGATTTGATGTGTATTTATACCTCTGCCCTTTCGTGCTGTGAGCTAAACCTTCCCTATTTGGTTGTTATCTTCTGTTCAAAAAGTAACAGGTTCAGATCTTTACTAGAGAAAAGTTAATGTCTTGCCCCTATTGTCATGATAGGCTTTTGTGCTCTTTTTCTACAGGCAAAAGAGCCAAGGACAAATTCTGGGGCTATTTAACTTTCGTTCTATATTGCTTTTTTTTTTAAAATTAATTAGGGACTTGAAATTCTGGGATTATTTACTGTTTTTAATGCTGTTAATATGTTCATGTGGCCGAAAATTTTTGAAGGGTATGGTGTGAAATTTTTACGGTGGAACACTATGGGTAGGTTTCCCAGTCTGTGAGAACACGTTACCACAGGGTAGTTGCTGTGTTTATTAGCTTTTGCAAAAGAATATAGCCTGGCTGTGATGGAAAATAGGAAATTTCATGTTTCGGAATTAAAATTCTGAATTGTTTCTTCTTGTTAATGGAAACGAATGTTTGGTTACAATAGCATTCGGTAAAAAAACTTGCGCATAAATGTAGGCTTGAGAACAAAAGAAAAATTGAACAAAAATTACATTGTACGAGAATGACAAGAGTAGTTCACTAAGATTTTTGGGTAAATAATATTTTTGGTTTTTAAAGTTTATATTTTTTGTCAGTTTAATCTTTATTGTATTAATTTTGTCAATTCGATCTCTGAACTATTCAATTTGTGGCACTTTAGTCTATTATTAGACAATTCATTAAGTTTTTTAACGGAAGTGACAATGTGTCATTTTTTAAATGGTATCACGTGTCCAACATATGATCATTTCGTTAAAATTTTAACGATTCGTCTATATAAAAATCAAAATGACACGAGTTGAATATTTTAGGAATTAAATTAACAAAATTAATAGAATAAGAAATAAGCTGATAAAAAATATAAATTTTAAGAACCATCAAAACTATTAGTCTAGAATTTTTTATTATTTTGAAGAAAACAAAGCAAGACGTCATAAGCCATTTGGATGTGGCAGAACAAAGAGGTAACTAGCTAAGATACTTTTTAAGTGTCAATACAACATGATAGATCTCGAAATGAGAGCTCATTACTTTAGTTAGGGTTTTTCCTAAGGGTTCACCACATTTAATCTTCTTGATTGATCTCACCACCCTTTTAGCTTTCCCAAGCAGAGAGAGTCATCGAAAAAAGCACTGTGTGAACGATCGCTTCGACCTCACCCCATATCTCCTCATCTTCCATCAATCCTACTTCCGTATCCCCACCCTCCTGTACCTCATCGTTTTCCCCCTCACTCTTCTACACTCGACCTCCCCTTTTTTGTGTCTACCTTAACCCTATCTGTCTTGTTCTGCAAGCCCTTTCAGTCCCTTCTTCCCTTAGTGCCCTTCTTATCTTATCTAAGCCAAAACCCTCATCCTCTTTCACTATTTGTCAGCATCCCCCCAAATTTCACTTCTAGTAGTTCTTCTACCATCTATTCCTACCCAGTACAAACTCTTTTCATCCTAGTTTCTTCAATGAAGAAGGATACAAAAGCCGAGTCTCACTACATCCACCCTTCTGGCATCTCCCTCTATACGAACCCATCCATCTTAAGGAATGTGGAGAAATTTTGTTCAGTGGGCCGCTTTTTAACTAACATAAACCTAAATAGACAGGGGGTGTGCAACGTCTTACAAAGCTCGTGGAAAATGTCTAAGGGCTTCTCAATCACCTATTGGGAAAGGAATACGTATATGTTCATGTTCAAGGAGGAGGAAGACAGAGACAAAATCCTGAATGAAGGCCCTTGGTCAGTTTCGGGAGCTCTGTTAGTGCTGAAGACGTATCAAGCACAGAACATCATTAATGATTTTCAGTTCTAGTTGGCTGAGTTTTGGGTATAGGTCTGGGGACTACCCTTGGACATGATGACTAAGGAATAATGCCTGGGGAATAGGTATGGTCATTGGCGAACCAACCCAGCTGGAGAAGTTTGAGGGTGAGGTCCAAATCCAATGTAATTTTCTGAGGCTAAAATGTAGAATCAATCTGAATGATCCTCTGAAGAAGGGCTTCTTCCTGACTTGTGACAACCAGGATGACATCTGGATCAATTTGAAGTATGCGAAACTCTTTAATTTCTATTATCAGTGCGGTCGAATTGGTCATTCCCAGAGCCAATGCAAGGAAAGACACCTCTGGGGTTCTAACGGCCATTTTGGCCCAGAATTGATAGCACATAGTAGCCAATCTTAGGGCTTTTTCAAGGAAACCTGATCCCTAAAAGCAAGGGAGAATATGGAAAGATGTGAGAAACTCAAAGGGAAGATGCAGACAACCGGTGAAGATGACCAGTCGGTGGTGGATGAGAGCTCAAAAAGCAGCAGAGTACCAACCAAAAAAATCCCTCACACCCACAACGGCCACAGTGAGGATATGTCAATACCCCAAGGCTCTAACGTTGTACGTGGTATGCAGAATCAGAACAGTAGACCCCACCACCACGCCTCACTTCTTGCAGTGGTGCCGTTCACTAGTGGGGTCCAAGAATGGGATCTGAGCCTTTCACTTTCCTTCACTGGATCCCAGGAAGACCGACACACCATGGTTGCGGTTAAAAAAAGAGAATATTATGTTTGTGAGCCCACAGAAAGTATGGAAGCCCAAGAATCGAAAGGAAAATAAATCTACATAATCTCTGATAATGGGGATGAGGAGAGGGGTGATGATATGGAAACTAACTTTCAAAACATGTTGTTGAAGAGGAAAGCCCAAACAGACTAATCTGAATTGGAGGCCCACCCACTAATGAGGAAAAAGAACAAGGCTAATTCGGATATTGGGTCAGGTATTATTCCACCTGTTCTCCCCCAACTTGGGCATCCAATGGAACTCCGTCTCTCTCTTTCAGACTTTGGGGAAAAACGAGTATCCATGAACCAATCTAGGAGGACTAAACCAAGGAAGAATATGGGACCAAAATTAAGGACACATTCTAAACTTTACTTTGCTTTATATGGAGGAAATGGAGGAGCAGCAAGCACAGGCCCAAGGAAAGGTGGTGGAGGTTGAGAAGGAAGGCGTAGGTGAAAACAATCTCAATCAATGCATGACTCAGTAGATATCTCAATCCACCAGTGGAAAGCCAGATAAGGGAATTTCACGTGATCCTTCAGAAAAGGTGGTGGTGGCTGACCTTAAACAGCCACAAGATCCATGTTAATCCTCACCTGGAATTGTTAAGGAGTGGGACAACCCCAGACAGTTTGCAACTTACGAGGGCTCATTGACACCCACCGTTCCTTAATCATTTTCCTTATGGAGACTAAAAACAAGTCTCATAAGTTGGAACGATTGAGAAGATTGTTGAAATTTCATTCCTTTGAATATGTGGATCCTGTGGGGCTATCTGATAGAAAGATGGGGTTAATCTTCAAGTAATCAAAAAGAACAAGAACATGATCAATGTGAGATGCAGCCTTCTACACCACCCGAAGTGGTGGCAGTGTATATTCATCTATGCTGATACGAAGTGTGAATTTAGGAAGAAGACATGGGAAAGACTAAAGTTGATGACTCGTTCCATTGATATGCCTTGGTTGGTTGCTGGGAATTTTAATGTCAATAGGTCTTTGGGAGATAAAGAGGGCGGGGGGGACTGCTAGCAGCATTAAGAGAGTTGAAGAACTCCAACAAATCATTTCAGATTGTTGCTTTATGGAAATAAATTTCAGTGGACCTAGATTCACCTGGTTAAACAATAGACCAGGGACTGCCAATGTCCAAGAACTTCTTGACAGGGTCTTGGTAAATCCTGAGTGGAGTACTCGCTTTCCTACCACACATGTGATTCATAAAGCAAGAATGGGCTCTGATCACTGCCCTGTTGTGATTGATCTCGGTTTAAAGACAAAGAAGGCCCCGTATTATTTTAAGTTTGAAAGTATATGGCTGGATGATCTCGAATATGAAGAGGTAGTTAAGAGCAACTAGACCTACAGACACCTATACTCTGTGATGCAGAATTCTACCACAAACCTAGATATGTGTAGAAAACATTTGTTATAATGGAGCAGACAGAAATTTGGAACAACAAGAAGATCATTCAGGAGTTGGGAAAAGAGTTAATTCAGGTCCAGAAACAGGAACGATCTGAAGAAAATTTGTTAACAGAAGTAGAGATTTGCTCCTAGATTGACGCTTATAGATACAGAGAGGAGAAGTTTTGGATGCAACGGTCCAGAATCAATTGGCTGAAAGAGGGAGATCAGAACACCAGGTTTTTTCACATGACCGCAATTCAAAGGAGGAACTGTAATTAGATATTGAGGCTTAAATTAGATGGCGATGTTTGGATTGAGGCTGAGGAGGATATTATGGCCCACATTAGTGACTACTTTAAAAACCTGTTCAAAATAGTGGGGGAGAGGAATTGGTCCGAAACGCTGAATGTAGTGGATATTAGGGTCACCTTGGAGATGAATCTTGAATTACTAAGATCAATCTCTGAGGCAAAGGTGCAAGATGTTGTGAGGGAGTTGGGTGCCCTTAAGGCTCCTGGACCCAATGGATTCCCTGGAATTTTCTTCCATAGGTTCTGGTATATTGTAGGGCAGGATGTTTTTCAGCTGATTAAGGACTTCTTTGAGGAGGGCCTAATGGATAAGGATCTTAACCACACTAACGTGGTTCTTATCCCCAAGGAGGCAACTCCAGAATCTATCTCCCAATTCAGGCCCATCGTCCTCTGTAATTTCCTGTATAAGATCATTTCAAAGGTGTTGGTAAATAGGATGAAGGGTATGATTGGCTCTTTAGTCTCCCCAAACCAGGCTGCCTTTGTCCCCAACAGGAAAATTTAGGATAGTATAGCTATTGCAAATGAATTATTTCACCACCTAAAAGGCAAAAAGAGAGGTAGGATACCTGAACTGGCAATAAAGATGGATATCAGTAAGGCCTATGATAGGGTTGAATGGGATTTTATGGAAGCAACAATGATCCAAATGGGCTTTGATAGGCATTAGGTGGGGTTGATAATACAGTGTGTTAGCACGGTGACCCTACAGTTTGTCTTGAATGGGGAAAAAATCAGTGAGTTTTGTC